AAACTAACTAACATCAATTTTGTGAGTATGTCTGTGGGGTTTACACCTAAAGATTGATAATCTACACAAAGATAAAAAGTCAGAAATTGGAGGTTGGAGAGATGGTTCAACAGTTTAGTGTATGTACTGCTCTTGCCAAGGACCCAGGTTCAGTTCCCAGCATGCACATGAGGAGACTCACAACCTTCTGTAACTCCAGCTCCAGGGTACCCAACACCTTTTGACTTCTGCAGTTGTGGTGCACATAAACTCATTCAGGTACACACACACACACACACACACACACACACACACACACACACACACAAATACCACATCTTAAAAGAAGTCGGAAATTTAGAGATGGTATGAATTCGTATGCTATGCCACAAAAATAACTTTAACCATTTCCTCCGTCAGCTTAAAAGGAAATTTGAAAAACTTTTTTGTACACAAATATTATGTCTTAATATCACAATACTGTTTTTTATATCACAGACTAAAACACATTTATCTTTTCCCCTTAGATATGGGAGATCTATTGATTGGATCAAAAGCCCCCAGACCCTGGCTCTTTCTGCTCAGTCATTGGATAGATACTTTAATGAACTAAGAGTCATTTCTTTCTCCTTGTTACTAGGTTACCAATCCCTGCTGCTCATAAAACCCCTCCTGTATTTCTATTATTTAAGAAAACATAAAGATGAACAGTTCCATATCTGAGCTGTAAGCCCTTTATAAAGTCATACAAGCATGAGGCTACTGATACCCTATTTCTTGAGGACTAGACTGAGTTATGAAGAAGCAGGTGGTCAGAATAGTTTACCTTCTATAGGGGGTGTTTTATCCTTCATATTCTATAGGCAGTATTAAAATCCTACCTGCAATTAAGAAAAAGCATCCTGAAGACAGCTCCAGCAAGCAATTTCTAAGTGCCACAAGAGGGTGCTGTGAGTCTACTACAGAAGAAAAAGAGTTTTCCATGTCCAAAACCGAGAGGAGGGAGTATGGGGAGGAACAACTAACACTAAAGGCCTTTAGAAAAAGTCATATGCAAACCTACCACTATAGACGCTTCTTAAAGTATACATATACTGTATTAAAAGAGATTAAAAGGAGTTACCCTATAACGGGGACATTGCACCTACTAGACATCATAGGTTAACAAAGTAAAAGCCTAATGACAGGAATGGGCCCTTGTTTTGAAGCTGTTGATCAGGGATCCCATAGCCCTTAAACAATACTGGCCATGCTCTTGGTTATTCACCAGAACTTGACTGTGAGATTATATTACCGAAGATACTACATAAATAGCTGTTGAACGAACAAGGAGAAATCAAGCCGGTGTTGACTTCAAAGCCTCATCTCTGCTTGCTTGTTTTCAGTGTTACAAGGTGCTTCTGCATTGTATATGAAGAGAAAATTAATCATCAACCTTACCGAGCTGTGAATTTTGTGAGCTACAACAACTTGCCTGGCAAGATATGCCTACCAGTGCAACAGTGGCACACATTTTAGGGGAGTGACCAATGGCTTTTTAATTGATTTAAAGTATGCTTCATAAAATAGTGCCCATACCTGGCATTGATGTCAGGCCTAGGTACCTTAATCTAGACAGATCACAGGCCACAGGGAAGATCCTAATACTATTATTCTGCTAAATAGATACAGTATTAAACTGATTCCTGATGACTTATTATTATACCCATATATTAGTATATTGTCAACTCTTGGCAGAGAAGTTTCCTTGTGCAACAGATGCTCATTAACTCAGGAATCTACAACTGGCCAAGAATAAGAGGCTGTAGAGTGATTATCCCTGAATTAGACACCTATATCAAATGTCTGCCTCTGAAGGTTCAGAGATCATTGTGGAAGAGGGGGCAGAAAGATTGCAAGAGCCAGAGGTGATAGATGACCACAAGGAAACAGAGTTTTCCAGAGAGTTGTCAGTTACTTATTTGAACTATAGCAATGGTGCCAGCATGTACAAATCCCAAGTCAAATCAAATAAAATCCCAACATAGACATGGAAAAGTAAGAAACCCCAACTCTACCTGAAGAACTATTGGTAATCAATGGCTGCTGGGAGGGGGAAAGTCAGTCTCCTTTAAGGGTGAGACCCTTGATAAGTTGACCAAGTTCCAGTGAATGAATATACACCAAAGAGCATTTGGGGGACACAAATTTGACTCTGTAGGCCTTAACACACACACACACACACACACACACACACACACACACATACACACACACATATGTATATGGAGTAGTACATGAAATTTTGTAGGGGGTAGTAAGAGAGGTACAGATAGGAGAGAGAATCTAAATATGATTAAAATATAATACATGAAATTTGCAAAAATTCAATAAAATGTTAGAAATATTATTTTCCTGACCTTCTGAGACATAGAAATTTAACTTTTTCTAGTTCAAAAATAAAATAAATGTAGACACTAAAAGATAGACTTATTTCTCCTCATTTCATCATTGACAAAGATGCAGGATGTCTCCATATTTCTCACTAATAGACTGCAGTTACTCAAAGAAAAACATCTATACCATAAGTTCACTGGTCCCACAGTTCCTGTGAATACATGACTGTTAAGGCAGAGCTCTACCTGTAACTACTCAAAACTTAGTTGCTGTTTCTGATTAGCAGTATAGCACCATGTGGTTGAATGAGAGAGAGAAAAGGAGACAGTGATAATTTGGCTCCATCTTAGAGCGAGCTTGGGCAAATCCCTTCATCTCTTTACACTCAATATTACACACATTAAAGGAAATAGCATTAAACTTTATCTCATATGGGTGTCTTAAGATTGAGATATGTAACAGGAGATTAATTTGCATTTATGTATATTTAATTAAAGGCAAATTATCATCATCATAATATTGAATCTTACAAATTAAGCTGAGTAGTATATTTTCACTTTTAAAAAGTACCTTTGTTCTTTCACAGTATCACTGTTTCTTCCCGAGTATATTTTCAAATAAATATTAAGCAGGAGTTTTGAGGAAATGTCTATTTCGAAGCCTGCTATGGACTCAATGAAGTCATGTTTGGGGTTTCTCTACTTTTTAAAGGATGAATGCATATGAATAGAAGCCCAATAAATATGCGTTTTGTAAAGGATAAAACACATAAATTCAATTTATCAGGGACTGAAATGAACTTTGAAAGAGGGGAGAGATGTTAGGGCAACAACAGGCAGAAGCAGAGAGTAGGCCTAGTGGAGGTTCATTGTGGGAAGCGAGCACAGCTGAGTCAGCCAGATGGCGCCCTGGCTGGCTGCCAAACCTCGTGCTGTTTACTCCAACTCTTGGCTGATTGCCAAGGCTCGTGATTCCCGCTTGCTTACTCCAAAGTATGGAGAGGCCAAACAGGTGCTGCCAGCCTGGTGATCTTGCTACATGCCTATGAGCTACATTCTGCCTGGCCGCTGCACGTGTGTGAGCCCTGATTGATACCGGCTGGGGGGAGGGCTGTTGGAAAACGCTATATAAAGAGCTGAAGTGTGTAATAGTGGGAGCAGCATCATAGTGAGCCAGCATCATAGTGAAGAGAACATGAGATAATAAGAGAGAATAAAGGAGAAAGAGAAACAGAAGCTTGAACCTCACCTTGGTGTCTGTGTCGTCTTTCCTGGACTCTGCTGGACAGAGTCCCGGCT